GTCCACCTTCTCCTATATTGACTGAAGACTTTTAAATACTTTTAGACCAACTGCACGCATTAGCTGCATTTGAGTCCAACATTCATTGTTAAATGACTTTTAAATTTAGAAGAATGTACTTTATTATAAAACTATACTCAAAGTACTTAAGAAGAAAATTGTACATAGAATAAGAACAATAACTTAACATAGATAGCATTGATTTTTTACGTACATCAGAACACAAATTTCTCAACGTTTATTAAATTATTTTCTCTCATTAACTATTGTAATAAATTAAGTTTGGTTTCTTACATTTCTTTTTTTCTCATCACTATGTTTGCAACAAAGCAAAAATTTTTCAACAAAAAATAAAACGAAAAATCGCTAGGATAAAAAAGAGAACAGTATACAACAGCCAATGTGCTTGGATGACTTGATTGTTAGTTAAATTCTTGTTCCAAAAGAAAAGCAAAAATTTTGTATTCAGAATTAACAACAGAAAAAAGATTTTGGGAATACATGTTTTTGTAGTTTATAAATTGCTTTGGAAAGCTTTGGGAAAAATAATTTGCCGCTTTCAAACAATTTGGAAATGGGAATTTTTTCGTTTATTTTTCCCCGAATATTTTCCTGATTTAAAACTAGCATTCGCGAAGCTTAGCAGAGCAGAAGTAAGATGCTGAAATATCGTTTCTACCAAATTTACAGCTTTTGTCGCTTACCCCGTTGAGTAATTAAAGTTTTGTTTACAGAACAAGACCAAGGTTAAGTCATTGTCAGCTAGTAACTGCCTGAAAGGGCAAAAAGAATCATCACTGGTGGCAACTGTCTGCAACAATTTTGCTGTGCTTCAAATGTTCCAATCAAAGCGAAGGACTGTCTTCAGCCTGCAACCGGCAAAACTGACCCCGCATTCCGCGAACACGACGTAATGCATGCTGGTGACGAGATTCATGAAGATATCCCTAAAAATATTTCCCTTTCCGAATATAACCCTAGACTGCCAAAAAATATGTAGAATGCTACGTAAAAGAAGCAAGAAAACTCTGATTATCATTATTTTTTTTGTTTTTGAGCATCCTTATAAAAAGTCTTGAAAGGTCGCTAACTCGACGACGTGGTGCAACTTTACCGTCTTCTTCAAGTTTACGCCGCACATTACGCCGAATTAAAATTCTAAATGTCAAAAAATGTTTTGAAAATGCAACAGCAAATACAGCATTGTGGCCAGTAAAAGAAAAGAGAGACTATTACTCAAAAAGTTGGTTTGTATTGAGATTGGTATTTTTTGAGAACTTTTTGAAACCTTTTTATCTGCCTTGGATTAAGGTCGAATTTTGAGACACATTCTTTTGTTTGTACAGGTGTAATGTTGTTTAGAGCTGCGTTGATCGTTTGTCCAGCAACCTAAACAACGAGATATACAAGTTAAAAGATACGAAAATCTACATGCACTGTTTTACTAGAATTAATATCTTAAATTTAAATGCTTAAGAGCGATCAAGAAAACGCTGATAAAGTAAGCCCAAAAATTTTTGAAAAACAGTGTTTCTAAATAGGACCGTAAGTTCATTTACAGTGAGTGTTGGCCGCTCGTATGAAGACGGTGCAGCATCTGCAGCAGAATATTCTAAAATTTTACGTAGTTACTTACTTATCCTTCACGTAAACTTGGTTTATTTTCACAACGTGGTACTGCTCTATAATTAATCCTTCAAACAAGTACAACAGAAAAATTTTAAGAAGAACCCTTCCAAGTTTTAATCAAAATACCTCACAGAATAGGTTGGCAAATTGAACAAGTTCATTTCATTTTATAATAATAAAATGATAGGTAACCAAATACAGACAATGAAACACTAATTAACCTACTAAAACTACTAATATCATAACACAAATTTGATAATGGCCCCTGTCGTACGGCGCTGAGAAACTGCATTCGGCAGTCAGTTGGCGTTAATGATCGCCAGAATAGTTCATTGATAAAGTCCTGCGTTAATAAAAATAACTTTTGCTTTTCTTTATAAAATGAATACATACAAAAAATATGAGAAAGCACAAAAGATTTAAAAAATCAATGATGTAAGACATCAACGTTTTACTAGCAGGTGAAGAAAAAGAAAACCATGTAGCTTTGACAGTAAAAATAGAAAAAATTATTTTTTTTTTTTTTGTGTCTTATAAAATCGTTGTAAGAGACACCTTTGGAAACCGTAAATGTTGATAAAAAAGAAACAAAAAAAGAACAACAAAGTTTTTATTAATTGTCTACTAATTGAAAAATACTACAACGACGGTTACACAATCACAGGCGACCTTCAGATATGATGTTAAAAACTTACTAAAGATTCCTTAGACGCTACTGCCCAAGCCCAGTACCTATACGGTTCTAGTGGTGGTAGCTGAAACAGATATTCGTCGACCAATCTCTTCCAGCAGTAAGTTAGGGGGTTTAATTTAATCGCCTCAATGCTTTCACTATCCTTAAAAGTTAGAAACTCCAGAAGTTGGGTGTACCACAAGTGAGCCCTATTCTTTTTTTGTGTCGTCGGTAAACGGTAGTTCAACAATTTTTATAAGGTTTCTACCTAATTTTAAATAAGTTCTTTCTTGCAGTAATACAAATATTTTTTTTAATGGCCTATGCGAAAGAATTTTTGGGGAGGAAATCAGAATTCAGTTAGACAAACTTACAAATGAATTGAATTGAAAACTGGTTGACGGGAGTAATGAATCATAGAAGAGTCTGCAAAAAGCAAGTAAAAAATTATTTGAAATAGATCAGAAATATTTATTTAATAGGTTTTTATCAGTATGCAGATGCCGAAGAAGAGCCTAATATTATAAAGAAAAAACATTCAAACCCGTTCATTTGATTCGCAAAAGCGCCTCGTCTTCTTTAATTGACTCGACGATTGCAGGAAAGCCTGAGCAGGAAGTAGGAAGTGTCTGTGA